GAACGCACACAGGGCAAAACATAAGTCCCCGTTTTCGGACTGCGTCCGAACGGGGACTAACAAAAAATGTTCAGAAATGAGTGATGGCTTCATTTTTGAAAGAAACTACTGTAGAGAGCTTTATGTTTGCAACTATTCATAAAGCTTTATTGGACTCTTTGGACTAATGGATGAAAACTGCGGGAAATACAGGAACATTCATTGGAATTCAATGTTAAATTCTGAATTAGGGCAGCTTGAAGAGGAGAATCTTTGTCAATCCACAACTAAAAAGCATTAGCAAACAAAAATTGGGAAGCCAAGGCGGCCATTAAAATTTAGATGTGCTGAAATTATTGAAATTGAATGTTTAGTGCGTATTTGTTGCAAATTTTGACCATCAAATACTTACGTATATTAGACACAGGACTCTAATAAAGCATAAGAATGACCTCAAAGCTAGCTATTCTAGTGAGTGCAGCGCCCATTAAGTAGAAAATAAATTCCCAGTGATAATAAAGTATTCTATATACATGTAGTTACTATATTTAAAATTGACTAAAAACAGAAACATTGACCACTGTGGCATCAAATTACAAGCAATGACATGAGCCTTCAGGGGAAAAACTTTTGTGTGACATATCGTGACACAGACTGCATATAATAGCACGTTGCTGTTGATGCCAGGTAATCTACATGTACATGTGAATCCAACAGCTTGCTGTGTTGATTTACGATGTGCCACCAAAATAGAACATAAAACAATATCTTCTATTGTTTTCAATGAAAAAGCAAGGTAGTGTAGTCGTTTCTAAGGACAAACACAACAATTATTCCCTGCAACATCTACAATATTAGTGGCTAATTTAGGTATGCATTGAATGTTGCGTTAGGACCTTCAACCATCCATTTGTATTTTGTTTTGTTTGTACAACCATGAGTTCTGTTGATTTCAAAATGTAAGTGGACATTCACTGTTATTCCAATCAACAAAACAATAAACCTCAAGAAAACATAAATATAGATGTAAGATTAACATTTAAAGTAGAATGCTAAACAAAAGTAAAAATATTGTTATTTTCTTTATTTTTACATATTATGTTACAAGGATTAAGAAAATGAAAATAAAAATATGAGGTCATCGTACTCAGTTCAGAGAAAATTGATAAGTAATACAAAGTGAAACAAGCACTGAGAATGCATGGTCCCAGTTTTGTATTAAATACAAAGTCCATCACTCGTTCACAGTTATGGAGAGGATTATTTTGCGGCTATTGTGATGTATTCTGTTGTTGAAGAAAATATTTGGTTCACTGGATGAAAAATGTAATGGGCAACCAATAATAAAGTGATAAATCGGAGAAACGTATGTTAAAATGACAAGTTTTAACCACTTTATGCAAAACTACTGAAATTTAGATCAGACCGTGAAACAACCAAGTTGCAGTGCACATTTTTATCTCTTAATATATTACCCGGTAATGTTTAGCAATAGAACTCTAAATGGTGATGCATAAACTGTAATTGTGATAAGGGATTTTTTTCCATTGCATAAATATAGTGCATTACCTGAACCGCAAGTTTTACAGCACCCCTCACACCAAGGTTGTATAATGTAGTTTAAGCACTGGACTAACTTGTATCTTGTTGCTGCAAGTGTGTATGCAGTGAACTGCCTTGTATACACACTGACAGTAGACT